TTAGGGATGTTAGGGACGTTAGGAATGTTAGGGATGTCAGGGATGTTAGGGCTGTTAGGGATGTTAGGGATGTTGGGGACGTTAGGGATGCTATTGATGTTAGGGATGTTAGGGTTTAGGGTTCAGGGTTCAGGGTTCACGGTTCAGGGTTTAGGGATCAGGGCTTGGGATTTCAGATGGGTTGTGGAGGCAACAGATGAGATCTTGATAGGGCGTATAGGCCCTTGCTTGTGATAGAGAAAGCTAGAAGCCCTACGCCTAAGCCGTAAGCCCTATCCCCTGAAGGGGTCACAGATGCTCACGATCCCTGTCGTTGAAAGCCATCGGAGGTGTTTGCCAGATGCCCTGGTCATAGAGGAACCCCGTTTCCATTGCCCCACTCACAGGATTCATACTTCTCACCCCCGTCCCTGGAGCTTGGGGGTTGTTGGCACATGATTCGGGGGCCTTCCAGGGACGCAAATCCTAGCGCGCACACCCCCGGTTGCAGAGAGGATCCGCTCCGAATTGCGTGTGGCGCACTCAGACGCTCAGAGGGCCTGCCCAGGGATGGTCTGTCGCTAGTGTGTTACGCATGCAGAAGCCTCCTGTCTTGCATGTTGAACATGGTCGCAGGGGGCACTAGCTTGTCGGGAGCCCTGCTACTTCTGTTTTTTGAACATGATGTATGCACTCTTCTCGCCCAGGAAGCAGACCTGGAGATCGAGATCGTGCCCCAGCGACACCTGTGCTGATGTGCTGCAGACTTTGCAGACACGCACACACACACACACACACACCTTCAGCCAGTTCAACAACTCTCAAATTGGTCTCTTTTCATGTTCTCGTTTTCTGGGCCTACTTGTAGCTTGACTCAGATTCTGGCCTGTATGCATTGACGCACCAAGACCCCCCTACACAGAGCGGTGCTTGCAAGAGGGTCAAAAAGTGCTCCAAAAAGGCTATAGCCAAATTGGGGTTTAGTGTTTTGGTTATCTGTTTTGGACTGTCTACTCTTCTGGCCCTGGCCCTACCTGTAACTAACCATGAACCTTCAAGTAATACCATCCTAAGCCCTAACCCCTAAACCCTAAGCCCTAAGCCCTAAGCCCGAAGCCATAAGCCCTAAACCCTAAACCCTAAACCCTAAACCCTAAACCCTAAACCCTAAACCCTAAACCCTAAACCCTAAGCCCTAAGCCCTAAGCCCCCTAGGAGAGTCATGCCCAGCTTTCGGAAGTTCCTGGGAGTCGGCCAGGTACGCCGCGACAAGGCCAAGGCGGCCACGGAGAAGGAGCTCTTGGCAGTTCCTTGGCGGGTTTAGGGTTTAGGGTTTGGGATTTGGGGTTTGGGGTTTAGGGTTCAGGGAGCTTCATGTTGTTTTGTTTGGGACCCTAAACTGTGCCTACCCCCTTCCCCACACTACGGCCTCCACAAACAAAGGCCCAAGCATCCCTCAATCACGCCTTCTCTGTTTTTTTTTGGGGGCTTCTCTTTCGGTAGGCCCGCTGGGGGAGAAAGGCAATACCCGTCCGTCCGTGTGTGTGTGAGAGAGAGTGTGAGAGAGAGTGTTAGAGAGTGTGTGTGTGTGTGTGTGTGTGTGTGTGTTTTTTATCTTTTGAGGAGGTTTAGCTTTCCCGATAATGAGCCCCAGGGGGTGACAAGGGCTGCTTTCTCTGTTCGTTGGGGATGTTCCCCCTTCTACTAACAGCTCCTTAGTAGGGATTAATCCCCATTCAGGACTTTTTGTTTTGGGGGAAGCATCCCGGGGTACTATTTTTCCTATTAAGGATTTTTAGTACAAGGGGGATGATGGGGATGTTTCGTTTCATGTTTGGTTTGCTCTAGAGCCGAAGCCTTAGGGTGGGACCTGAATCGGTGTTCCTTCGGCCTTCGGCGCGGGCTTTGAGGGCTTCATCTTGGGATGTTCACCCCTTATACTAACAGGTCCTTCAGAGGGATTTAGGGATCATAATAGGGGGTACCATAATTGTTAGATGTTGTTAGTATAAGGGGGAACATCCCAAGCTTCAGGGTTTTTGGAACTCTTGCTCCTAGGTCTCGGGGGGCCGTGTGTGGGAGGATAGGGATCGGCTTAGAAACTCCAAACTCCCGAAGCCCCAAAACACCCGAAGAAACCAAACCCTAAGTCCCCTCCAAGCCTAAAGTCCCCCCCAAAAGGCGCAAGCCCTAAACCCTAAACCCTAAACCCTAAACCCTAAACCCTAAGCCCTAAGCCCTAAGCCCTAAGCCCTAGACCCTAGACCCTAAACCCTAGACCCTAAGCCCTAGACCCTAGACACCCAAGAGCCAAGGTGCGGGCCCAGTTCGACAAGGCCCGGGTCACCTGGGAGAGCAAGGAGCGTGAGCTCGAGGCCGGGACTTAGGGTTGGAGGTCGGCCCCTGGAAAACCGTAAAATCCCTAAACCCCAAACCCCAAACCCTAAACCCTAAACCCTAAACCCTAAACCCTAAACTCTAAACCCCAAACCCTAAACCCTAAACCCTAAACCCTAAACCCTAAACCCTGAACCCAAAACCCTAAACCCTAAACCCTAAACCCTAAACCCTAAACCCTAAACCCTAAACCCTAAACCCTAAACCCTAAACTCTGGACCCCGAAATCCCTCAGCCACTAAACCCTAGACTTGAAAAAAACACCCAAGAAACCCCAACGCCCGAAGCCCTCGGGGGGGGGGGGCAGGTCTTCCGAGTTTGGGGGCTGTAGGGTTTCGGGCTTTAGGGCTTTAGAGCTTGCAACTGAAGTTGCTGTATTGAGGCCTGTCGTTTCAATCACTTTAGCTACCCTCCCCCCGGGAAACACCCCTTGTTTATGAATCTACAAGGAGCTCTCTGAGCCCTAAGCCCGAAACCCGAACTCTCTTGGCCCGACCGCAAGACATCCCCCCAAGCTGAAGCCATCCGAGCAGCCCCTGAAGCCCCATTTTCGACTCTGCGGTTTTTAAAGGCCGGAGTTGAGTGAGATCCCGCCCAGGTGCTGGTGCGAACCCGCGACCGCCTGGTGACGTCGCTGAAGACATCTGGCTGCTTCTGGGTGCGTCAGAGCACCAAACATCGGGGTCGGAAGAAGTACTAGTAATACCAGGCCGAATAATATTCCCTCATGGTCCCTTTATAAACCCTAAACCCAAAACCCTAAACCCAAAACCCTAAACCCCTAAACCCTGAACCCTAAACCCTAAACCCTACACCCTAAACCCTAAACCCTAAAACCCCAAAACCCAAAACCCTAAACCCTAAACCTCTCATTATTCAGGCGCCTACAAAACCCACCTTGCTCCCGCAAGTCCCAAGGAATGAGATCGAGCTCGTCGCCGAGTCCTGGGAGGTGAAGTGCGCCTCCTCCTCTTGCTACGTGGGGGTTTAGGGTTTAGGGTTTAGGGTTTAGGGTTTAGGGGTACCTCATTGGGGGGTCCTTACTATAAGGGGATCCTACTATTTGGGGATCTACATAGGGGGGTCCCCTATGTTCGCAAACCCCCCCATGGAATCTTGTGGCGGGGTGAGTGGGCAATTGTCTTTAGATCTTGTCGACAGAAGTGCGCACTCGATCAGAAGTCGTGAGAACCTTGCCGAAGGGCACAGAGATTCTCACCAGGTACGATAAGCTGCTGAGCTTGTTCGACAAGCTGCAGAAGAAGTACGATGAACTGCCCTGGCCCTTGTCACACTGATCGGCTCCATAGCCCGAAGCCCTAAAGTCCCAAACCTCAGTGGGCAACTTCGCTCGACCCTGAACCCTAAAACCTTTCCACTCGTAGGATCAAGGCTTTGGGCAAGCCAGCAGCATTGTGAGTGCGGGTTGGCATGCCTTGAGTAAGAGCAACACAATACAGAACAAGAGCAACACAACACAGAACCGTAGGAATAGCACAGTATCAGCAGTCACGAAGGTGTAAGTGTACCGGTAGTAGTATGAATAAAAAACAACCTGTCTCTGTCTGTGGCCGTAATTGCCGTCATCTTTCCTGAAACAGGGTTTATATATAGCCGTTATTGACGAGTGTATAGAAGGTCCCTTTTTAATATCGGTGAGTGTATATACTGGGTGTCCTTTTAGGGATACCAGCGCTTTGATGAAACCATTGACTCTATCTCCTCTGTCCTTGCGAAGCTTCACCATTGATCGGCAATTTCACGTCCTCGACTTTGATGTTGTGTGCTTGCTAATCGTGCTTCGTACAAATCTAAGCTGTCTCACCTTCATATGATTCACGACCTCGAGTCCGCAGTACAAGGACTATAAACCCTACTTCAGCTTCTGTCTTGGGGTGTTCCTGGTTCTTGGTGTGATGTTCCTCGGCGGGCTTGCGGGGTCTTGCTATGCTCTCTTCGTGCCGTTCTCACCTCACTTGTCTCCAGCCTCGCTCAGATTTCCTTTTTGTCCGTGGGCCCCAGGAGCAAGGACCCTAAACCCTACACTTAACGCTAAACCCTAAGCCCTAAATCCTAAACCCTAAACCCCAAACCCCAAACACCAAACCCTAAACCCTAAACGCTTTGGAGAGTGCCTTTCTGTGAGCTTTTGAGGTTGGGTCCTGGTGGCCTGGCCGAGGCCTTCAGGGGCCTCTGGACTCGTGTTAGGGCACTCGGGGAAGGTGCTCTAGGTTTAGGGTTGGGGGTTTAGGGTTTAGGGTTTCGTGTTAGCAGAGTAGATAGCCTTTGACCTTATTGGGGTCCTACGTTCCCTTTATAATCCCAAAGGTTAACCTTTAGTTCCCGTAGGGTACTGGACAACTAGGTTAGAACCCCCCCCTCCAAAGAGCTTCTGAGGTTCTACGAACTGTCAATATTTTTTGTGATAGTTGATATGCTTTAGGTCCACTTTAAAATACTGGATCTTGTTGTAGTGACAATGATAGTGATAAAAAATCTCTACTTCCTAGACCACACTGCAAGACTCCAAACCTTTTGGGCTGCTTGGGAGGTTTAGAGTTCGGTTTGCGCTGCTTTGGGGGCTCGCCTCGGGTGTCTCATTCTAGCACCCTAAACCCTAAACCCTAAACCCTAAACCCTAAACCCTAAACCCCAAACCCCAAACCCTAAACCCTAAACCCTAAACCCCTACAACCACAAGCAAAGCCCCCAGGGCCCTCTGTTCCGGGCCAGGCCTTGCGGCGAGCGCGCGACCTCAAGGCCGAGCCAGTCTAGGGGTTTGGGGGTTGGGGTTAAAGTTCAGGGTTTAGGGTTTAGGTTTAGGGTTTAGGGTTTAGGGTTTAGGGTTTAGGGTTTAGGGTTTAGGGTTTAGGGTTTAGGGTTTAGGGTTTAGGGTTTAGGGTTTAGGGGGGTATAAGGAGGGACCCCTAGAAGGGACCCTTAATCATATAGTCCCTATATGCCTAAGTAGCCCCCTAAATAACCCTTAAAGAACCCCTAGGGTCCCTCCTTTAGTGAGGACTTGCGTCACCTGGATCTCCTTTCCTGCCCTAAACCCTAAACCCTAAACCCTAAACCCTAAACCCTAAACCCTAAACCCTAAACCCTAAACCCTAAACCCTAAACCCTAAACCCTAAACCCTAAACCCTAAACCCTAAGCTACCAGACTAGTGATGTGCGAGGCTTCGAAGCTTGATCCAGCTCCAAATAGCCAGAAAGCCCTCCCCCCACGCCCCAGGAAGAGAACGTGGAGCTGACGAAGCTCACGCACGAGCTCAAGGCAAGGGGGCCTTAGACCCCTAGGCCTTGGGAAGGGCTGCAGTGGCTTTTGGAGTCTCATATATTATTTTTTCTTCTGGGGCCTTTTTTTTTGAGTTCGGAGGCTGCTGCTGACTTCTGAATTGTCGGCTTTGGGGGTGGGTCGGGAGAGAGAAAGTCAAGTCCGCAAGGCCCCCCTGGCGCTTCCCTGAGCCGAGAGTTCCCAGACCCTGAAATCTGGGAGCACGAAGCTGTGGGTGTTTGAGACTTTTCGGCCGTTTCCCCCAGCTTGGTCCTTGGGCTTCGGAAGGCAGAAGCCCGAACTTTGGTGATTCAGGTATCTTGGGCTTTGGACTTTCGGGGGGCGATGCTTTCTTTGGCAAGTGATCTCAGGCCTATGCGAGCCTAGGGAGCCCAGAAAGTTCAGGGAAGGGGTTTAGGGTTTAGGGTTTAGGGTTTGGGGTTTAGGGTTTAGGGTTTAGGGTTTAGGGCTTAGGGTTTAGGGGTTAGGGTTTAGGGTTTAGGGTTTTCGGTTGAAGGCCTTACACCGTACAGGGTCCTCACTTCCGGCCCCGTGGGGAAAGGAGATGATCAAGAAGCAGAAGCGGCAGATCCGAGGCAGGGAGGGGGGCTTCGGCTAAACAGCGAGAGACTTGGCCCCAAAAAGACCCTTGCAAGACTCGGGAACCCCGGAGGGGCTCGACCTTGAACTCAAGAGCAGTTCCAAACAATTCTCAGTAAACAACCCAAACTTTGAGCTACAACCTTTAAGAACTCAAAATAAGAACCCAAAACCCAAAACCCAAAACCCAAAACCCAAAACCCAAAACCCTAAACCCTAAACCCTAAACCCTAAACCCTAAACCCTAAACCCTAAACCCTAAACCCTAAACCCTAAACCCCAAAACAAGCTCCACCGGCCTTCGAAGCCTAGCTCCCCTTCGCCAGACCTGCAGCTGGACATCGACATGCACATGAAGGAGACCGCGGACCTCATCCTGCAGAAGGAGCAGGGCATCGCGGAGATGGCGCCGGGCTGGGCTTCTGGGGGATTTAGGGTTTAGGGTTTAGGGTTTAGGGTTTAGGGTTTAGGGTTTAGGGTTTAGGGTTTAGGGTTTAGGGTTTAGGAGTTAGGGTTTAGGTTAAGGGGGTTGCCCACTGAGAGGTCCCTTCGCAGCCCAGGTCGGGGACTACGCCAAGCTCCAGGCCTCCTTCCGCAAGGAGGTGGAACAGAAGGCGTGCCGGAGGGGGTATGGGGGTAGAGGGGAGCGGGGTCTGGGAAGCCTGGTGCTGGCTGCCTCTTGGCAGCAGCGGGTTTGGGGTGAATGGTTTAGGGTTCAGGGTTTAGGTTTGGGGAGTCTAAGAGGGCTCTTTTGTTCCGATTTGTGAGGGGGGTTCTGCAGACAGGAGCGGATCACCACCGAGCTCACCGAGGAGAAGAGGGCCATTGTCGCTTCCTTCTCGGCTGGGCGCCCGGTGTGCGTGGCACTCTCACCCCAGGGTTTCGGGCTTGACTGTTTGGGTGTGTGTGGGTTAAGAGGGCCTTCTCAGGAATGTCCCACATGGCCCTAATCCCCCCCTCCTCAGATGTGAACCCCGCAGGTTTCTTGCTGGGAGGACCTCGATTGGAACCCTGGAGCTCCGCTGAAACCAAACCCGAACGATCGTCCGGAAAAAAAAACCGCGTCCACTTCCCTAGGGGTCCATGTACCCATATGTATACACTTGGGCCCTAAAGCTACTATATGGAGACCCCCTTAAGGCCCAACTATATACTATATCGGTACATGGACACTTAGGGCTTGAGGACATGGCCAAGGCATGCACTAAGGCACTCCGTGGGCGTTGCATCTTCTGATCGGCCGCAAGGCAAAAAGGCGCCCTTTTTTTGCAGCCGAGAGAGTGCCAAACCCTAAGCCCTAAGCCCTAAGCCCTAAGCCCTAAGCCCTAAGCCCTAAGCCCTAAGCCCTAAGCCCTAAGCCCTAAGCCCTAAGCCCTAAACCCTAAGCCCTAAACCCTAAGCCCTACCCTAAGCCCTAAACCCTAAACCCTAAACCCTAAGCCCTAAACCCTAAACCCTAAGCCGAAGCCCCAGGCCCGCATCGAGCAGCTGGAGCAGTTGGTGGAGGCCATGCGCTTCACGGACCGCGACGCCGGGGGCCCTGGGGTGGTCTCTGTGGTGCTTAGGGTCTGAGGGTTTTAGGGTTTTAGGGTTTGGAGGGTTTGGAGGGTTTGGCGGGTTTGGAGGGTTTGGAGGGTTTGGAGGGTTTAGGGTTTAGGGTTTAGGGTTTAGGGTTTAGGGTAACCTTAGATCCTTAGCTTTGTTAGGTTTATGGGTTTTCTGAATAAGGCAGCTAACTTGTTTGAGTTAGAGCTACCCTACGAAAGTGCAGCCAAGTGGCTGGGCGGCTGCCAGAGGCAAAGTCTGCCTTGGGACTTACTGTTGGACTCGGTTTAGTGTGCAGGGGTCCCCCCCTCCCCCCAAACAATTTTTGGGTTTTCGGGGATCCTGAATAATGTGGGCTGGGGCTGGGACGACGGGGGCTAGGGTGGCTAGGGGTCGAGGGTTGAGGGGAAGCCTTGAAGCTTGAGGGTCTAAGCTTTCCAGGCTTTATAGCTCCACGGTCGCCGGGGCTCCGCATAAATGCGGACCACCGAAACAACTTGCTAAAGCGAATCAGGGCAGCTCGTGGGCTACTCCCTTGGAAAATTGTTTGGGGGCCTGTTTCGTAAATGAAATTTGAAAAGGAATTTAAATGAGGCTGGACACCAAAAAATTCCGGAGTTTCTTATTCACAACTGTTTTTAGTTTTTGGCTCCCCGGCCCCCCGCCCTTCAACCCCGGCCGGGCAAGCATTGCATAATTGAGGACCACCCGAAACAATGGGGGGTTCTGTATAAGATTTTCGGAACATCGCATAATCGCGGTCCCATCCACTAAACCGGCCCCACCCCAAAAGCAAACACAAGATCTCAAACCCGAAGCCGAAACCACTGGACATCCGAGACCCTGAGCCCAAACCAGAGACTTGGCAAACCCGTTCCATCCCCTTCCCCGAAGCCCAAACCTTGACATCTCTTGCCATCTTGTTTCCATGTGCTCCCTAGACATCCGACAGAACCCTACCTTAGGACCTGAAGACCCCCACCACCCCCAAATCCCTCATGAGCCCTTAAGAGCCCTGTCAGAGCCCTAGGAGCTCGTCGACACCATTGACGTGTGGAAGCGGGCCTACGCAAGGATCTGCATTGCGCGCGATGAGATGGAGGCCGCTTGCGGGGGCGGGGGTGGGTTCGATGGAGGTTGATCCAGGTTAAGGGCCGTCTACCACATAAAGGAAATACTCAGTATACGGGAGAGAGAGGGAGGGAGCGAGATTGAGAGTGAGTGAGTGAGAGAGAGAGATATATATATATATACAGATATATATATATATACATACATATGTGTATATAGACATATGATGTGCTGTATACAATACGATGGCAGGCCCACAGCTTGGGGGCAAAGGGGCGTGCATGGTGCAGGTTGCGGGTTGACGATGGTAAGTTGCAGGTGCAGGGGCTTAATTGCTCAGCGTGCAGCAGGTGGAGCAGCCTTCTGTTCCGGGGTTTGCGGCTGAACGTTGCAGAAGATGCGCCACACGCAACGCCCTAAACCCCAAGTCCCAAAGTCCTAGGCTTCCCAAGGCCCATGCAGAACCCAAGCAGCTGAGCTGCCAAATGCCAGGAAGACTTTGAAAACCAGCTGGTCATGAAAGACAAGCAGCTGAGGCGGGGTGACTTTTCAGCCCAGGGCTGGTGTAAAGGGTATTGGGTCCTTTTACAACTTGCATCTGGAGCAGAATTTATGAGCTCCTTTGGGTCTCACAGTCTCGGCTGCCAGATGCATGGCCCATGATATAGCCCAGCCCGCAGGTGTTGTTAAGGGTTTGCAGGGTACGGGCTCAGGGGGCACTGGCTCTGCTGGGCGTGCAGGCTGCAGAAGATCTGCAAACCCTAAACCCTAAACCCTAAACCCGAAACCCGAAACCCTAAACCCTGCCTCCCAACTCCAGAACTTGCAGTCCCCAAAAGCCCAGGCCCAGCAGCGAACGCCAGACATCAGACCCGCCCAACCCCCTCCCCCACCCCCCCAAAAAAAAGACAGCGCAAGTCTGAACCTTCAAGCATGGGGAATGTATCTGAATGTACCTCAACGTATCTTAATGTATTGTAATGTATCTTAACGTATCTTAATGCATCTTAATGTATCTTAATGCCCCCCCCCCCCAAAAAAAAAACAAAACCGAAACCCTAAAACCCTTAGCCCAGGAAGATGGCCTTGGACAGCTCGGAGGACTGGGGGAAAGCAGCGCTCGACCTAACCCTAAACCCTATACCCTAAACCTTGGAAAGGTGCGTCCATTGTAGGTAAAAGCAAAAACCTCAACCTTAAGCCGTCTGTCCTTTGCGGTTTTTGGTTCAGGAGCTCGCCTGAACCCTCCTTCTCCCTGGCCACCCCAACCTAAGGGGGCCCCTGAGCATGTACCCCTAAGAGGTTCCCTTGATAAACTCCTACAATGGCCCTTTTCTTCATGTAGAGGTAAACCCTAAACCCGAAACCCCAAACCCTAAACCCTAAACCCTAAACCCTACACCCTAAACCCTGAACCTAAACCCTAAACCCCAAACCCAAGTACCACCCCGCGAAACCAACTCCCCTTACAATCAGGCAGAATCCTTACACTTTAAGGTTTAGGGTTTAGGGTTTAGGGTTTGGGGTTTAAGGTTTAGGGTTTAGGGTTTAGGGTTTGGGGTTTGGGGTTTAAGGCTTAAGGCTAGGGTTTTGAGAGCTCGAAAGAGGTATTCCTCAAAGGTGTGTATGAAGCCTGGCTTAAAGCATCACGAGAGAAGGAGCATCCCCTAAGTCAGGGTTATTGAGTCCAGAGCTCTGAGCCTCTGCACCCAAGAACACCCGGGCCTTACAGGCCTAAAACGCCAAACAAACGAACCCAAGTCCGCAAAAGCCCTGAAAACCTTAACTCTGAACCTAAGCCCGAAAGCCTTAAACCCCCCCAAACCCTAAGCCCTTAAGCCTTCCAGGAGCGGGAGCAGGTGAAGAAAGAGATCGAGGGCTGGAGGGAGAAAGTGATTCAGGCACCTTCATAGGGGCGACGACCCTCAACCTACCCTAACATCCCTGTTCAGGGTTTAGGGTTCAGGGTTTAGGGACCTTATGCCTGCAGCGAAGGTTCCGGGTTTTTGAGTCTCGGGGTTTGCTTTGGGCTGCAGGCGAAGCGTTTGGCGGCTCGAAGGGCTTCCGCTTGGGCCTTCCTAAGCCAGCAAAGCCCCGACGCAGCAAGTCCCAAACAAATCCCCTTCATCGCCTTTGCGTCCACCTGCGCGGACCAGTCAGCCCTAAGCCCAAACCCCAAAACCCTAAACCCCAAACCCGAGACCCTAACCCTAAACCCTAAACCCTAAACCCGAAACCCTAAACCCTAAACCCGAAACCCTAAACCCTAAACCCGAAACCCTAAGCCCTAAACGCGAAACCCAGGTGGAAGAAGAGTGGAAGCTGAAGATGGTCCCCCTTCACGTGCAGAAGGACGAGGCCGGACTTGGACTTGGGTCTCCTAGACGTCTGCGGCCAAGAGGCGGTTTAGGGTTTAGGGTTTCGGGTTTAGGGTTTAGGGTTGTGGGGGCCCTGGCCCTGAAGCAACCCTAAGCCCTGAACCCTGAACCCTTGCAATGGGGGCCACTCGGGAAGTGATACTTCGTGTCGGCATCTTTTCTTGGGACTGAGCGCCTTAGGTCTTCTGTGTGCAGGCTTCGGGTTTCGGGTTTATGGTTTAGGGTTTAGGGCTAGACCCCCAGGCCTGCGGAAACAAGCCCTGAACCCTAAACCCTAAGCGCTGGAATTGTCAGAATTGCCCTAAAACCCCATGTCCTCAACGTCCAACGCCCGTCCGCAGTTAGAGAAGAAGATTGCGGAGCTGGAAAGAAACGTCCTCATCAAGGAGGCGGAGCTCAGGACTGACCGAACGCACATGGGGGGGGGGGGGGTTTAGGGTTTAGGGTTTAGGGTTTAGGGTTTAGGGTTTAAGGGTTCAGCTACTGAGGGGGCCCGCAGGGGGATGTTAAACCTCCTAAGCCCTAAACCCCAAACCCCAAGACCCTAAACCCTAAGCCCTAAACCCCAAACCCCAAAACCCTAAACCCTAAGCCCCCAAGAACTCAAAGGGGTGGGCGAAAGCTTAAAAGCCACCCTGAAGCCCCGTCAACCCTCAACTAGGCCTCCTTGTACCTTAAACACGATAATTGCCCTAAACCCTAAACCCTAAACCCTAAACCCTAAACCCTAAACCCTAAACCCTAAACCCTAAACCCTAAACCCTAAACCCTAAACCCTAAACCCTAAACCCTAAACCCTAAACAGGAGAGCGCTGCGGCTGGCCGACTCCCGATTGGAGGATCCGGAGAAGGTGCGGGGGCCTTTGCGGGCTTTTGGTGTTGAGGGATCTCATTGCAGCCTGGGGCATTGCCGTGGCGGAAGATGTCTGAGTCCACCACACCCTAAACCCCAATGTCCCCCCCATGTGTGTGAGTGTGTATGTGCATGTGTATATGTATGTATGCATGTATGCATGATGTATGCATGTATGCATGTATGCATGTATGCATGTATGCATGTATGCACGTATGCATGTATAGATATTTTTACACCTTTTTAAGGGATCCCCCCCCACCCCCTACGTGTGTCTATACGCCTTTAAGGGACTCTAGAGGGTACCTCATCCCCCCCCCCCCGCCCCCCCATGCCCTACCAAGGATGCAGGGCTCAGGTCCCGGACGCCAGAAAAAAGGCCTTAACCACCAAAGGCCCATGGTCCCAATGGCAACTTGGAGGTTCAGGGTTTAGGGTTTAGGGTTGCAGGGGGTTTACTTGTGGAGGTTCATGGGTAGCTATAAGTAGGGTTATAACTGCCCTAAATATGGTTACAAGTCTTGTTACCCTACTTATAACCCCACATATAACTGCCCATGAACCTCCAAGAAGTGTCAAATCCCGTACTGTTACAAACCCTAAGCCCTAAACCCTAAACCCTAAACCGCTAAGGACCAGTAAGTCTGCCAGTCCTTCTGTGGTACGGTGCAGAGCAGGCTTGTTAAAGACCAAACGAGGAACCCTCCAAGCATCCCGCCTTGAAGGTTTATAGCTCACCGGCAGCTATAAGTAGGGTTTCCTTAAATCAAGTTCTTAACAGGTGAGAGTTCTTGTTGCTGCCGTGCTTCAAGCCTTCTCAAGTGTGCAACCCCAACAAATCCCGAAACTTTGTGGGGGGCCCAAGATTGCTCTAATTTGAGGTTCCACCTTCTTTAGGTGACCATGTCTCACTCAGAGGGAATCTACGTATGAAGGAGGCTACTGAGTTTGGGGACCCGAGGTTCGAACACCCAGCAAAAGATGAGCCCCTGGAGCCAGGAAGAGATGAAGCGGAAGCTGGCCGAGCTCGAGTCCTGCATCAAGAAGCAGCAGGCAGCGGCAAGGGGGTTTAGGGTTTAGGCTTTAGGGTCTAGGGCAAGCCCTCAAGCCCTCAAGCCCTCAAGCCCTCAAGCCCTCAAGCCCTCAAGCCCTCAAGCCCTCAAGCCCTCAAGCCCTCAAGCCCTCAAGCCCTCAAGCCCTCAAGCCCTCAAGCCCTCAAGCCTCGACAGTTTGCAAGCACTGAGGGCGATGTGGCTCGGGAGGTTGGGTAACTTTCGGATTTCAACGTCTCAGGCTTTCGGAGTTTTCGGGCTTCGAGAGGCGCCTCCCTGCTTTGCCGTGGAGTTGAACTTTGGAGCTCTTGGCCTCTCAACTAAACCCCTCCCCTCCCCCCGCTTCTCAGCCCAGATGTAACCCCATGCGGACCTGAGGCTCCCCTGTAACGCATTGAGCCGGAGCCCCAAAGCCACGCCACCTCGAAACACCTGAGGAAGGCATCCAGGTCCTCATCGAGGATGCCGCCCTTTGCTTCGAGCCAGAGTGCTTGCCCTTAAGCCCCAAACCCCAAACCCCCCCCCCTAGCGCCTCGGGGTTCAGGGTTTAGGGTTTAGGGTTTAGGGTTTAGGGTTTAGGGTTTTAGGGTTCTAGGGTTTTAGGGTTTTAGGGTTCTAGGGTTTTAGGGTTTTAGGGTTTGGGGTTTTAGGGCTTAGGGAACCCACTGTTCGTCCGCCAGCCGAAGCATTCTTCTTCTGCCCACGCGTTGAGGATCCTGCTCTCTGCGTGTGTGTTGATGGCAGCAAGCACACCGGTAAGCGGTCGGTGTCTCTGGTCATGATGAGCCATTAGAGGGTAGCAGTGCCCGAAGTAAGATTTCATTCGACTCCCCTAATGCCCCAAAACGCCCCTCCGGCGCCCGGCTTCGGGCTTGATAGCACACAGAGAGGGGGGGTTTCCGAGAATAGGGTCCCCTGAAACCCCCCCCTCCCCCCCGCATAGTCTCAGGATGGGATCCTGTGCTTATGCCAAGCTAGGCTGCCCAGTAGTGCCCTTATTCCGTTTTTGGGGGCTTTAGGTCCCCTTATAAACCCCTTTAAGCAAAAAAGGGCACCCTTTTTAAGCCTAGGTTACTGGGCAGCCTAGCAAGTGCCACTCTGGGGCCCCAAGCGTTGTCCAGAGGAGAACACCAAGCTCCGCGAGAATGTGGAGGAAGCGGTGGAGCAGGCCGAGGCCCGACCCCCGCCGGAGAAGCAACTGCCAGGGTTTGGGGTTTAGGGTTTAGGGCTTGGGGTTTAGGGTTTAGGGTTTAGGGTTTAGGGTTTAGGGGTTGAGGGGGGTAGGGGTTTAGGGTTTAGTGAGTTTAGTGTTGCCAAGCCACCTATACTTGGGTTTTTTTTGCTATCGGGCTTGTTCCCCCTTTCGAGCCCGAGGCCTTTGTGAGGGACCTGTTGTGGCAACTGCTCCCAGAAGGGGGGACCTGCCCCTGAACCCTGAAGTGGAGCCTACCCTAAACTTTAAACCCTAAACCCCAAACCCCGCCCCAAGCCCCAAACCCCAAACCCCAAACCCTAAACCCCAAACCCCAAACCCTAAACCCTAAACCCTAAACCCTAAGCCTATTTTTGCCTTGCTGGGGAAGCTGCGCCCTGCTCGACGCGCAGGGCGCCGAAGAGGACTGGGAGCCCCAGATCCGGTGGCGCGACGAGCGCTACGAGGTGGGCAGGGTTCAGGGTTTAGGGTTCAGGGTTCAGGGTTTAGGGTTTAGGGTTTAGGGTTAAGGGTTAAGGGTTTAGGACCTTCAGAGCTCCCAGGCTCGTGTCAGAAGCCCTGGCTTCAAGTGTAGAGCAGCTGTTGATAGTAGGGACTATTATAATTATTCTTCACCTGGTACTTCTATTAGGCTATTAGGAGTTTTTTTTTAATGCTACGCAGTGCTTCAGAGCCTGGAGCCGAGAGTTCAGTGGAGGCATCCTAGGGGTGTTGGCAAGAGCAAGCAGCTTCTCGGGCCTCAACGCTGGTGCAGTAAACTCCACAAGAGTTGGAACATGGTTCAAGGATGATTCGAGCTGGGATTCCCTTTGGTGTAGCTTTTGGTGCTCCACAAGAGTTGGAACATGGTTCAAGGATGATTCGAGCTGGGATTCCCTTTGGTGTAGCTTTTGGTGCATGGGGATAAGGGTGTTCCAGCTTTTGGGAGTTTGCTGTATTAGGGTATTGGGCTCAGGGTTAATTAGGCCAAGGCTCATTAGGCTTAGGGTTGAGGGTTTTGGGGTCTAGGGCCTAGGGATTGTAGTAGATCCTAGGTAGGAGAAGGGGGACCCTGAAAAGGGAACCCTTCTTATCCCTCTTCCCTAAACAGGGACCTTCTTCAGAGGGTCTATATCCCCGAAGGGTCCCCCTAATCCTATCCCCTAAAATCCTATATGGTTGGCCCTTAAACCTCAGCAGTTCCCCAAAATGCTTCAATCGCACGCCATAAACCCTGAACCCTCATTCCCCTCTCCTCCCCTTCTCCCCTCAAAACCCTCAACCCTCAACCCTACACCCTGAACCCTAAACCCTAAACCCCAAACCCGAAACCCTAAACCCCAACCCCCCACTTTGCCAGGCAATGGTTAAGGAGCACGAGCAGGTCAAGCATATTCTCCAGCAGGAGATGCTGAAAGCCCAGGACCGAGCCCCCGCAGCTTGAGCTATTGAGGCGTTCGAGGCTTTTGTGGTGTTTGAGGTGTTTGCGGTTTTGGAGGTTTTGGAGGTTTGTGGGGTTTGTGAGGCTTTTAGGGTTCAAGGGCTTTCGGGGCCTACTTGAAAGGTTTTCGGCTACATGGAAGTAGGGTTATGCATCATGCGTGGCGTCGGTGCATATAACCCTTGCTGAGGTAGATGCAACTCTACGTATGACTACCCATGAACCTTCCAGTCGGTGCGTTCTCTGACCGCAACCACCCACCCCCCGCATCTGGTCTTGGTTGACGTAGGGTTAAGGGGCGAAGGGGCTTCGGAACACGGGGAAGTGACCACCCCCACGCAGGAAGCTTGCAAGCAGATTGAGGAGCAAGTGCGGAGGCTCGCGAAATAGAACATGCCGCCTTGAGCCCCCTAAGCTCTAAAGTCAAGGCCATCTACTGGTGCTAAATACTTTGATTACTATAATTTCTGTCGTGATCATATTGATAGTTGCTATGGCTACAGTCATGAGTGCAGTCTTTATAGCGATTATAACTCGAATAGTTGCACAGTTGCTATAACCTCATCAACTACTCTAATTCCCACAATTGCTATGAGCACTATGACTACTACACTACTATGGTTACCTTACTTACTAGCCCCAAACCCAAGGAAATTCCGAGCCCAGATTCTTCTCGGGCGTTCAGGCTTCAGCTTTACATACCCAACCCAGTTCGCTGTCTTGCCCACGTTCGGTTTTTGTTTGCTCGAGCAGTAGGGTTTTTTGGAGGTTTAGGCTTTAGGGCTTGGTGTTTTAGGGTTATCCCTGGGTTCGAAGATTCTGGGGCGCACCTGGCATGAGCGTAGACGTACCCGCCATCTACAAGCGCCTGTGTTCAAAAGGGGCTGTGGCAGGGCCGAATTCAGGGCGATTCTTGCGAAAGGCGTGGAGACCTTCAGCCCTGCTCTGGGGTTGATTTGGAATGAGTTTTTAATTCCTATGGGCCCTAATCCTTGTATACCCTTTATAGCCCATAGGGCCCCCAAATGCCCCCCAGTCTTCATCAAGGCAAGTCTGTTCCTTCTGCCAGGTTCCCGAACCCCTTCGAGGCGGAGCTTGAAGAGCTGAAGGATCGATACGCCCAGATGCAGGCAGATGCAAGGGGAGGCTACCAGGAGTAGCCCTAAACCCTAAACCCACCCGAAACCCTAAACCCTAAACCCTAAACCCTAAACTCTAAACCCGAAACCCTAAACCCTATAAGGTTTAGGGACGCTCAAAGTCGGGTTTTCTGAGCCCTAGACAACTTTCATAGCGACCTTGAGCTGCCGAAGCTCAGTGGTACACTCTTGCTAAAGAGCACTTTCCGACCCGAGAAGGGTTCCCTCTGTCCAGACCCGAACCCCTAAAGCCTAAAGCCTAAAGCCTAGAGCCTAAAGCCTAAACCCTAAACCCTAAACCCTAAACCCTAAACCCTTGGAGGTTGTACTTGCTTTCAGGGAAATCCTGTAGGTGGCAGCAGTTTGAGAAGCGCCGTATGGCAGAAGTTTGAAAGAGCGAAGCTGCTGGGATTTTCGACAGATAGTTGTCAGAGCTCTCCCTCGATTCATGTTTAGGGTTTAGGGTTTCGGGTTTAGGGTTTAGGGTTTAGATGTTCGACCAAAGAGGGCAGTGTGGGACAGGAAGAAGGACCCAAGGAAAGAGCGACGGATCGAACGAACCAGACGCTTGAAGGAATAAAACATAGCAAATTGAATTCAATTGGGCATTTCAGCTAAATCTGCCCACGCTGCAGTGAAGCTTTTAAGCAGGAATGTTGCGGAGATCTGAAGAAAAGAAATGTGTGTAGACGCTTCTGCTCAGTCGTCAACAGGTTTACTTCAACCCTTCAACCCTTCGAGCCTTATACCTTGGCTGATAGAGACTAGAGTAGTGGGTACTATCATCCCTATTATGGACTGGTAAGGGGGAACACCCCTAAACCCTAAACCCTAAACCCTAAACCCCAAACCCTAAACCCTAAACCCTAAACCCTAAACCCTAAACCCTAAACCCTAAACCCTAAACCCCCAAAACCCTAAACCCTAAACCCTAAACCCTAAACCCTAAACCCTTTTTTAAAATGTAAACCCTAAGCCCTAAGACCTCCCCACCCCTCTCTGGGAGCAAGGCTGGCACGCAACGGCTGAGCGTGGAGAACGTGCAGCTGCGCGAGAGGCTGCAGGCCGCGTTGGAAAAAATTGTGATTCCGGTTTAGGGTTTGGGGTTTAGGGTTTTTAGGGTTTTTCGGGTTTAGGGCTTAGGGTTTAGTTTAGGGTTTCCTGGACCTGACAACCTGAATTATGGCACATGCTCACTCCGGCTTCTTTGGGGCCAGGGGCTCCAGGTAGGAGGGTAGAAATCTTCAGGGCCGCGTTAAGGCCGTTGATAGATGTATACATATATATATATATAGCTGTATATAGATGTAGAGTATGCTCTATATGTATTTACGGTTTATACATATCCCTAGACCCTGCTAAACCCTAAACCCTAAACTCTAACCCTCAACCCTCAACCCTCAACCCTAAACCCTAAACCCCAAACCCTAAACCCTAAACCCTAAACCCAGATGCACATACCTCCTTAGATCCCAATGCCACTCCCTGGTCTTCCATGGTTGTGAGCAGGACCAGGAAGAGGCCTTCCATGACTCAAAGAAGGGGCCGCTGGACCCAAAAGGACGGTTTAGGGTTTAGGGTTTAGGGTTTAGGGTTTAGGGTTTAGGGTTTAGGGTTTAGGGTTTTCAAGGGATTCAGACTCGTACCCTTAAGGTTGTACCCCTAAAGGTTCCCCCTAATATACTCCTAATATGGCCCTCATATTCCCTTAAGGATCCTTAAAAAGGGGCCCCAAAACCCAAGGGTACAACCTTAAGGGTCCAAGGTAGAACCCCTAGAGGTTTAGGGTTTAGGGTTTAGGGTCTCTCAAGAAGTATCAGATCATTGGGATCATGTGGACGTGGAGTTTGCGGGATTTTTTGAGTCAGGATTTTGTAGGGTTTGGGGTTGGTGTTTTGGGGGCGTTCTCCGAGCAGGTGTTGTTAGAGGGTTTTCAGGGAGCCTACTGGCTAGGCCAGAAGTTTTGTAGACGCTTACTTTTTGGGGCCATTTTGCAAGTTGGCCTGAGGAAAGAAGTCCCCCCCCGCTCCACCCCTGCCCCCAGTTGGGAGTTCAGGGGTTGAGTGTTTAGCTTGCAGACTGTCCCTCCCAAACCCTGTGACCCGTTCGATTCCTGACCCGAGTACCAAGCTAGCAATCTAGTCCAGGGAGCCCAACACAACTCTGCTCAAGTGTGCCATGCAGTCATTCTGCAAGTCAAAATCCGTCCCCTCCCCCCCGGCGCTCCCCAATAAAAACTGTGCTTCCGGGCTTTCTGGGGATCTGTATCCCGAACCTGAAGACCCGAAGCCCTCAACGCTCTGCATCCTCCAGCCCAAAGCCCTCAACCAGCTGGCGCTGCTTACGCGAAACTCCAAGCTCAGACCTTAAAAACCCAAACCCGAAGCCCCTAAACCCTAAACCCTAAACCCTAAACCCTAAACCCTAAACCCTAAACCCTAAACCCTAAACCCTAAACCCTAAACCCTAAACCCTAAACCCTAAACCCTAAACCCGAAACCCCTACACCTCTGAACCCCTAAACCCCTAAACCCCTCAACCACTAAACCCCTAAACCCCTAAACCCCCTCAACCCCCTCAACCCAGCTCTCTCAGCCCTGGAGCTGCACTGAGGCTGGAAGACCTAAACCCTAAACCCTAAACCCTAAACCCTAAACCCTAAACCCTAAACCCTAAACCCTAAACCCTAAACCCTAAACCCTAAACCCTAAACACTAAACCCTAAACCCTAAACCCTAAACCCTAGAGCTGCACTGAGGCTGGAAGACCAGCTCCGCATTGCTCACGACATCCTCGAGCAGGCTTCGGGGGGTCTACTCGCCTCTACCAGAGGTCTCTCCCACCCAAGCCCTAAGATCTAAGCCCTAAACCCTAAACCCTGAACCCTAAACCCTACACCCTAAACCCTAAAACCTAAACCCTAAACCCTAAACCCTAAACCCTGAACCCTAGACCCTAGACCCTAGACCCTAAACCCTGAACCCTAGACCCTAGACCCTAGACCCTAAACCCTAAACCCTAAACCTACCCCCTCTCGCCCCAAGCGCAGGTTTCCACGCTGGGCGCCCTGCGGCACCTGAGCCAGGTGCGTCCTTCGGTCGCCGAGCAGAGGTCTTGACGAGCTTCTGTGCCAGATCCCAGAAGAAGATTTAAAAAACAATGCAACTGGCGCTGCAACTGGATACTGTTTTTGAGACTTGTCTAAAAAATGGTATCTAGAGTCTAGTGCTTGGGGAAATTGAAGGTCGGTCGTTCGTCGACAGCTGTAAAGAAGTGTTAGAGAAGATGTTAAGATGTCATCCTCTTTTGGTCAAAAGCCCGCAGCTCCATCAAGTGGAAGCTGCAAGTTCAAACTCCACCAACTTCGGCAAACAACGCTTCCGGAAATCATACGGCTTGCCGAATCCGTACCGGCACTACCCAAATGAGCATGTTATGGCTTGTGTTGTGAATACCTACTATGCAACAGTGACGGAAGCTTGGGCACATTCAGAAAGCTCAAGACACCCTTGTCCCGGAACACCATTCCCAACATGCTAAGTCATCCACATCATCCGAGATCCGACACGCCTTCCATGAGAGAGGTTCTTTTAAAGGCGAAGATTTCAAGAGGGCGGGGTGGCTGCTAGGCAGCTTCCAAAGAAGTGCAGAAGATGCTGTGCCCACGTGTTTTGATTTTTTCAGGATTCAGGACACTTCCAACATCTGAAACGAGAACGAAGAGAACGAAGAGCAGAATCGAGAGCCCCGCCGTTTGCAACGAAACGTCCGTTGACACCTGGTCGACCCTGGTGTGCGTACAGAGCTTTTGAGGCTTTGTGACTTTGTGGCTCAGGGTTCAAGGCCTAACTTTGTCCCTAAACCCTAAACCCTAAACCCTAAACCCTAAACCCTAAACCCTAAACCCTAAACCCTAAACCCTAAACCCTAAAACCTAAACCCTAAACCCTAAAGCCTAAGCCCTAAACCTCCTTGGTGGCCAAACTAAGAACCCACTCCCAATCGCCTCTTCCAGCTCCCCCCAGGCCGCTGAGGCCCCAGCTGAACCATGCTTTTAAAAGCTGGCGGTTTAGGGTTTAGGGGTTTAGGGGTTTAGGGGTTAGGGGTTTAGGGGTTTAGGGGTTTAGGGGTTTAGGGGTTTCGGGGTTTAGGGGTTTAGGGGTTTAGGGTTTAGGGGTTTAGGGTTTCCGGGGACGCGAAGCTGGAAAGCAGAAGTTCAGACTGGCCCGATGTTCCAAAGTCCCAACACCCCGGTCGAAACCCTAAGATGCTGAACTTTCAGCAGGAAGCGGCTACAGCCGTCAAGAAAATCACCAAGGCGCGCCCGACAGCAACTTGAGGCCACAAATGAGAGGGTTTAGGCGAGATGGATCGAGTGTACGGGGGTTCAGGGTTTAGGGCTTAGGGTTTAGGGTTTAGGGCCCATGAACCTCCCAGTAGGCTAATTCTTGGGTCAGGTTTCGTGCGGCTTCAAACTCTACTCCGGAGTGCCCCCTTTCAGATACGAGCCCCCTCTTTATCGCTTAAAACTCGTTAAGAATCGCTCGCGAACCCCTTTTGAGCTCTTGAGAATTCATGCCAAGCCGTTGAGAGCCGAAAACCCTAAACCCCGAACCGTACACTCTAAGACCCTAACCGCAAAACCTCCGCACCTTAAATCTCCAAACCCCACGGCCCTAAACCTCCAAACGCTAAAGCCCTAAACTGAAAAACGCTACGGCCCTGTGAAGTTGACCCAGTCCGAGTCGTAGACACCCACAACCACAAACCCCGCAAAACCTAAACCCTAAAGCCCAAAACCCAAAACAATCCTCAATCCAAAGCCGGAAGCCCCAAACCCTAAACCCATAAAGAAAGCAAAGAAGCAAGCACACCCTCAACCTGGTTCAGGCCTGGTCGTGAGCCCTGTGGCCCAGGATCGACCTCTAGCCTCGAGACCCCCAAGTCTAATATAGGGGATGGAATAACAATCTTCCCTTATGATTCCCTTGTAATTATGCTATAGTAACCCCCCAAAACCCTGTCCTAATTATTCAGGCTCCTATATCACTTTAATTAGGGCCCTTGAAAGTTTGAAGGTTCGTTGTTAAAGAGTTCGGGTGTTTTTTTTTCAGAAGGTTGTTTTGAGAGGTCTGAAAGGCATCTTTTGGTTTCTGGGGTCTACTTGAAGGTTCATGGGTACTTAGCGGCTATGTTTTCAAAGTAGGGTTGGGGTTAGGGTTGTTTGAGCCTGCTAGGGCAGCTGTACCTACGACCCTGCCCAGCGTACGTATGGCCCCCGAGATACCCATGAGCCTCCATAGGGTTCGGTTTCAACAGCAAAAAGGGCTCAACTTTGTTTTAAAGTTTTAAATTCGAGGGAACCGAGAACCCTGAGCCCACACTTTCCACGTGGTTGTGCCAAGAAGCGTGGCAGTCGCCGAAGCCGCGCTGCCTGTTGTCACCTCTGTCGAGAAGCCCCCGACGAGCTGCGCGAGCCAGCGCCGTAGCCGAAGCAGTCGTAAAGTTGACCGGGCCCTGTTGAGAAGCGCGTGCAGAGCAGCACACACATGAGCTCCGTAACCGTGCCGGC